AGCAAGAGTTTAAAACAAAAGCAATAAGCTTCAGTTGCAAAAGTGCCTCAGCTCCTCTGAAATAAGAATCACTGTTTCTTTCAAGGAAGCTTTTATAAAATTAACCATGAATTCAGCTTTAAATGCAAAAGCAGCAGATAACTAACAACTTAAATGTGTGTACCCACCTAAGCATCTATCCATTATTTTGAATGGGACGCAAATGTCCAAATTCCTTCATGGGTCAGGGACTATGTATTTAATCTTATAAACTGTTGCATCTTACACAAGTTACCATGACAGTACACTGGTAGAAAGAACTGTCACAGGAAGAATTCTGTGCAACAGCCAGCTTTGTCTGGGGCACGAGGAAAATACAAGCCTTACTGTAACACTGATGACTTTCAACTGATTACAGGACTTTGATGAACTGAATGAGTGATAAAGGGAGATGGACTACAGACCTTGACTTTAAGCCCGTCGATTGAAGAAAGGAGCTATAAGAACATTTCATAATGGTTTGCCATTTTCAGCTACCAAAAAGTGTCATAAACGAGAGATTCCTCAAGAGGAATACTTCGCTGCTGTTTGAAGAACTGTAGAAGTTTAGTAAGTTTTATGCCTGTAATGCTTCAAGGCCTGTATTTTCCCCAACATTCTGCCTTCTCAGGCACCACAACAGACCAGACGATTCAAGGAATCAAGCTAAGCCAGAAAAGGTAAATTACTTTCTGCCACTTGAGCTCTCTGAACCAGCTCAGGAAATGCAGTCAAGTGCCAACGACAGAAATGTAGAACCAGTAGCTGCTGCTGATTCAGATTTGCCCAGAGCATTGTGAAATTACACCTTAACTAGCACTAAATCATTAATGAACTCTGGAAAAGTATTCTGAAAGAACTAGACAGCAAGTACCTTAAATCGTTGTATTGGACTACATGGCAAAAGCCCTTCCTCAAAAGGCAAAATGTTTCAGTAAAAGAAGAGTTGTTTCCACATCCAAGACCTTTGGCGTGGGGGGGAACACCCCAACACAACAAAACACAAGCAGTACAGATTCATAGAATTGCACAAAATAGCCTAGTTCCCTCTTCTTAACTACACCAGTGATAAGGGCATTAACACAGAACACAACCCCCTTCAAGAACTTCCTCCCACCTTTTGAAGATCCCCTTAATTAGGAGGGTACAGGGGGCTTGCAGGATGAAGTGCTCAAAAGCCTCAGTTCTAAAGGCTACTAGAGTAGTGTCAGAAGTGGCTGACTAACAAAAGCAGACCGGAAGACTGCTTCCCAGAAGCAAGAGGGTTGACCTCTCCCAAATTCTCTTACTCTGCAGAGGATGTGAGAGCATTCATTAGACACAGGTGATTTTTAACCTTAGACAGGTAGCTTACAGTAGGGCAGCTTCATATATATTTTGGTTTAATAGCATCTTACCCCAGAATATGCTCCTATTTACACCTTAATTATCACAAGTGAGAAATGGTATATGCTGTGTCCTAAAACACAATAACATCTTAAAATATGAACTCCATGACTGAACACTGCATGAAGAGGGGACACTACTCCTTACTTACTTCTACACAATAGTGACTCCTGCTTCTTCAAATAAGCTGCACATTTCTTTTTTTCCATATTAAAAGACATTTAGATTCTTGATACAGCTTTGGGATAACAAGCTATTGTATCCAGCTCCCAATAATTTGTGTACAGAAAATGCTCACATACACCAATGAAAAGGTGTTACCCAGATTGCTCATCATAAATTACATCCCAAGAATAAAGCTGAATGCTTCCTATTAGAGGCTTAACAAAATAAGACGTATTAAGTACTTAATTTGGGCTCCTTAGATCTTTCGAGTATGTAAACGCTCAATATCTGAGTAGGAGTTAGTTCAGTAAACTTCTACAGTTTTTGCTATTAAGAAACTAACACCCTACAGTAGAATAGTTGTTAATTAAGCACAACTTAAATATTCCTTGGCTAATAGAGAATTTGAATTTCACCACGTTTACAGTATTTTCTCAGAAGGTAAAGACTATGCAGCCAAAGCCATCGTAAGTAAATCGCTGCTGAAGAACTATACCCAATATTCAAAAGTAAGCAAATGAAAAAGAAAAAAAAAAAAGCAAGTCTTGAGTAATTTTAAGAACATGCTATTTTACAGAAGGGTAGGCATCAAATGCAAGTCTTCCTAATGATAAAATACATACACCCCAGCAGCAAAACACTAATGGTCCTCAAGCTGAATCCTAATGCTTAAAACACACAAACCCACGACAACAACCAGTCCTCTGCAAGTTTCTGGGCAGAGAAGCACCAGGAAAACTGGCTTTATTCTGCTCCACAGACAGCAATGACTCTGGCCTTTTACAGATAACCAAATCATTGCTGCTTTAAAACAAGGAAACAAGCCAACCAACCCTCTCCCTGAATATCAGTAGAAAGAGCTATAATCTAATGTGTCATAACTGACCTCATGATACCACAATACCACCACTGCCAATATCATCCCTCAGCACTATAAACTGGCTTACACAGAAGATAGTAAAAGATTTTGCAGAAGTAAAAGATACTAGGAAGAAGAAGGAGAAGAGCACTAGTGTAAGCTTACCACAGGTTAGCTACATATTGCATCTCCCAATTGCATGTTCCTAGCATACAGTAAATGTAAGATAACATCTCTGTCCTCAAAGAGGCTTTCATTAGGTTACCCGATTTTCTCCAGGAACGTCAGAGCACACACCAGGGGAGTGCACCAGTTGTGCTTCAAGTTCATGCAGTAGCTATCCCTTAGTCTACATATTTGGGGGGCTCATGAAGTTTAACCATGACAAGTGCAAGGTCCTACACTTGGGTCGGAGCAATCCCAGGCACAGCTACAGGTTGGGTGAAGAAGAGATTCAGAGCAGCCCTGTGGAAAAAGACTTGGGGGTGCTGGTTGATGAGAAAACGAACATGAGCCGGCTTCAGTGTGCACTAGCAGCCCAGAAAGCCAACTGTATCCTGGGCTGCACCAAAAGGAGCGTGACCAGCAGGTCAAAGGAGGTGATCCTGCCCCTTTACTCTGCTCTCGTGAGACCTCACCTGGAGCACTGTGTGCAGTTCTGGTGTCCTCAACATAAAAAGGACACGGAACTGTTAGAACAAGTCCAGAGAAGGGCCACGAGTGTGATCAGGGAACTGGAGCACCTCCCATATGAAGATAGGCTGAGAAAGTTGGGGCTGTTCAGCCTGGAGAAGAGAAGGCTGCGTGGAGACCTCATAATGGCCTTCCAGTATCTGAAGGGCATCTATAGAGATGCTAGGGAGGGAGTCTTCGTTAGGGACTGTAGTGGTAGGACAAGGGGTAACGGGTTAAAACTTAAACAGGGGATGTTTAGATTGGATATAAGGAGGAAATTCTTTCCTGTTAGGGTGGTGAGGCACTGGATGGAATGGGTTGCCCAGGGAGGTTGTGAATGCATCCCTGGCAGTGTTCAAGGCCAGGCTGGACGAAGGTTTCGGTGAGATGGCTTAGTGTGAGGTGTCCCTGCCCATGGCAAGGGGGTTGGAACTTGATGATCTTAAGATCCTTTCCAACCCTGATTATTCTATGATTCTATATATGACAAAGCCTGAACTAAAACAGGAGTTAATTTATGTGTAACTACTTAAGACAATGTGCAACTTTCACCCTGAAGAGAAAGTTGCTCATCCTTTGTAATAAAAGCATAATGAATTCTCTCTGCATCTGCTAAGTGGTACTTGGTTCTATACAAAAACATTGTGAATCAGCCAAGACTAAGCAAAGCCTTGGCTTGTGTTTTTGTGGCTGTGGGCTTTTTACACTGTCTCATCCCATCTCCCCCCCTTCAAATGCGGAAGCTGCATTAAAATGTTCATTATTACAACAGTTAAAGAAAGGAAAATAAGCAAAAGTTAAACTAAGAACTTGGTAATTTGGAAGTGTTTAATCCTTTCTGAAGCAGTTGTAACTTTCTGAAGAAGTGGAATGGTATCTTGCCACTGCATTTCAGAAGTAACACCCAGAGCATCTTAAAAAACTAAATGTTGCCTTGAAATAAATTTACTTGGGGTTCTAGTGAAAATTTGGTTCAGCGGTTTCAAGTCTGCAGTTACAACTTTTATTGCCAGTTAGCCATTTGAACTATTCAAGGCTGAATTTCCAATAGAAACATGCTATTAGACTAGTATTTCACACTTGTCTAAATGCTTGATAATACTATGGGCTTAGCATTCTAATGAGGTCTATACTTTTAGGTATCACCTCACAAATGGTGGGCTTAAACTACAGCACTGGAAAGCTGCGATTTGATACATCTTACAAAAGCTATTCCAAACTTTTTTCCTGCAAAATATATACTTAAAATATATACTTAAAATATATAAAATATATATATTATCTTTAATATATATTTGTAAGGCATCTCTAATTCCTAAATTATCTGTAATTCTCTTTTAGGTAAGCTTCAGACCAGTAAATTCACATTATGGCTATGCAGATGTCTTGGCAACAGTGATAGCTTAAGCAGTATTTGTTCTCAGCAGCTCATTCCTGTTTCCACGCTATGTGGCTGAGCAACAGACATAGATAGTTATGCTGGTACAAGTGAATGCCTGAAGCAGAGACTGCTCATGAACCTGATGAGTAACTCAGAACTATTGAATTATATGAGCAGAAGATGAAGGAATACGGAAAGCCAGCCTTACTAGAATTCAGAATGCACGTATGCAATATACATTTGCCTACTGGGAGATCAATGGCAAGCACTTACTCCTCCTGTTCTCCTGCAACAGATCAGAGTAATGATTAACATAACCAAGCACAGAAATATGGAATCTTCTCTCCATCAGTTATGCTGGACAGCTTTTCAAACATCCAGTTTCAGGAACACTAAAGAGAAAAGCCATCTAACATGCTTCAGTAAAAATATCCAAGTAGAAAACCTCAGGTTTTCAGTTATCTGATCTTTAGCTGAACTAAGGAGAAGAGACTATCTTCAAGAGTTAAAATTTGTGGCAATGGGTTTTTGCAGAAAAATCTCAATTAAAACCACAAAGAAGGATTGTAAGCAGAGGGCTTCTACTTTGAACTAAGATGTTTATTGGGGCTGCTAGGACTTTCTAGAGAAGAGCTTACAAAAGTCTCTAACTAGCTTCTATTATACATATTACTTTCTACATTACATTATTACATTACAGCTATAAATAAAGATCTAGACATGCTTTACGCCTTCCATGGCAATCCAGGAGTTACAGACTGAGGAAGATGCATTCATACTCTGCATGGGTTTGTGTTTCTTTTTTTCTTAATGCAAAGGGCAGAGTATGCAAATATCCATCTTTTTGATGGAGATTCAGAATTGTGGCTCAGACATACGAGAGTGTACTGAAGTGCCTATCTTTTGAGCACATTCCTATGGTGTTTCCCCATGAGGTAGATTTATTACCATCTTATAAGCTAGAATACCTAGGTAGCAAAAGTTAATGAGTCAGTTTGGAACCATCTGTCCATTTGTTGCCTTTGTGAACATCTGGCCTTCAAATCATTGTTAAAAAAAAAAAAAAGATAGTCACTCCAGGTGCATTACTTAGATTTTGTAAATATCCATCTGCTTAAAACAATCAGAAACCACAGCCTGAGCACTGGTTAAATGTTCTAAGAAAGAATCCACCACACCTGGTATCTGACAGTATTACAGAGCACATCTATTCAGAAGGGCTGTGAGCCTAAATGGCATGTCCCTCACAGAAGTGAGGTGTCTCATCCAACAGTACTAAAAAGCATCCAGAGTTTGTCAACCCTTTCCCCAGGAGAAGAAGAGCAAGGTGTTACCAAGCTACAGTATTATTCAAATTCAGGAGTAATCTTCCAAATAAAACACTTTTTTCTGTTGATCATGCAGTACAAAGGGCTTAGCCTTTTCCAGCTAAGGCTTTCAAGAAAAATAAATGTAATACCATAAAAATCTCCTACAGAATCGGTTCTTAGGAAAATCAGAGAAAGCAAGAGATTTTTGCATCCGGTTTTGTAGCAAGCATGTGCATTTGGATAATAAAGAAACTCCATTGTTGCAGACTTCAAAACATTACAGGATAAAGAGGTAAGAAAACTGATATAACTGTCTACTGTCAATTTTCTCCAAAATTTTAAGATGCTCCAGGTTTAGGATACAAGCAGGAAGTCTGACAGTCAAAGGATTAATATCACTGAGTCTTCCAAAGGAAATGCTTACACAAGTGAAGAACAGATTCTGTGAAGGCCATCTTGATAACTCTTCTCTAAACACTGTTCAGTGATTTTTAAGCCAGCCAAGAGTTGGAGTTCCCAAAAGTTAATTTTTTTTTATCTGGGTAGAGAATCTCATCCTAGCATCTAGTGGCTCACAAGGCATTCAGAACAAGTCAGCTTTCAGATCAAGTCATGCTACCACTATCAAAGCCAATAACGATTTATTTTATCCTTGATATCACATCCTGTGTTTGTGCTTCTCCTTACAGAAGGAAGCTTAAACATCGTTTCTAGAACATGTCTTTCTGTACCAATCCTGTATTTATAGCAAATATGCCAAAATGTATTCTTAAAGGCACAACAGCATCACATTTTGTCAGTGGAATGAAGCCATTACAATACACATGCCAGCTAATCACGTTTTCCCCCATTTTACATGTACAAAACACACAAACCTAAGTGGGACAAGTATACCCAAAATTCAGAAGGAATTTACTCTGCAAAGCGGAGAGAAAAACTAGCAAAAAGATCAAAATCACGGTAGTTCAGTTAGCACCAGGTTCAGAAAATACAGGAAGAATTCCCTAATGTTGATATGTTTGACAATGACAAATCAAGTTGTATCGAATTTATAAGGGATAGCAATAATGTTTCTTTATTTCTTTATATGATACTGATGATTAGGTGAAGGATTTCACCTCTGCAAGTCTTATTCTTCCCTCTTTTAACCACCACAGATGGTTAAAATAAATTTGGATACAGCTGATGGGTAGTTACTTGAAGCACAAATTCTCTGCTACACTATTTAGCCACTTGGATCTATTTGTGGCTTTTTTTTTTTTAGCCATATTACCACTTGCTAGGTTTATACACGAAAAGAGTTAAATTAAACGCAAAAAAAAAAGTCGTTCACCACCATAATAAAACCACCAGCACATTCAAATCAGTAACATAAGAACACCAGTACTACAAGCTGCCAAATATTAACACTTACTATGCTATAGGCATTTTAATGTTTACTGCAAAAAAAGCAACTTGGAAAGAGATAATTCAAGCATCTGTTATATCAACTAACAGCCTACACACACAATCTTCCAAAAGAACTAATTTAAATAACATGGGAACTGAAGGCTCCAAATAGGAATTGTTAAAACGCAGTTATTTTTATCCCTCAATTACAGCTTTAGAACATCTTTTTTTTTTTCCCCTTGTTTTCTTCCATGTTAAGTAGTTTTTTCTAGCTACTAGTAAAGTTACTTTAGTAACAGTACTGTCTTTGTGTAAATGAAAAGAATCAGCATGCAGAAATGCAAAGACGTCTTAAAATTTGTAAGAGGGTCTATTTACTTAGAAAGTTACTCCCTTATTGCTCACACAGATTTACCACCTTCCTAAATCAAACCAGTTAACTGATCTGGGTTTTGGTTCATTTCAAGAAAGGCATTATCTCAAAGCATTTTTAAGGCAGCTGTAAACAAATACTTCAGAGAAGCAGCTGGTCCTAAATGATATATAATGGTATTCTCTTGTACTCTTAACAGGATCAATACACCTGTAATCACATGATACATACTATTCAAGCCACAGTGTGGTATACAATGTTAGGTTTCAGATCACAAATGGCTTGTCAGACTACTTCAGAGAACACAGTACTCCCTCCTGCACTTTTACCACATGCTCTACTTTTCCAGCAGGCTAGAGAAACCTCTTCTTTACAAGTCTGAAGTCTAATTACAAAAATTACCATTTCTAGGAACTGCAGAGTGAAGCAGATTTCCATTACCTTTTTTTCTGGCAGCAGCCTCCAGTATCGTTGCCTGGACACATGGAATCATTTTCAGGTATCTGCATTGAGGCTATCTGAACTGCTTCACTTGTCATCTGAATAGAGGAGTACTTTGCAAGAAGCAGCCATTCGGCAACTTGCAAGCTTAAACACTCGAAGGTTTTGCCCAATTAGCACTATAACTTTAGTTTCACAATGAATCACTGACTCACTTTAAACCAATACAGTTTAAACTCTTGATTTGCAACATGTATTTCAATGCTGCAATTTCAGATATATCTATTGACTGTTTTAATTTTGCTATTATGCAAGTATCATAATATGTGTTGAACTACACCTGCAAAAATTCAAAGGGCAATTTTGTCAATAAGAATGTTAAAACTAACATGCAAGAAGACCATGCCAGTTTCAAAAAAATCAGAGAGGGTGCTTAAGGGCATTACAGGCAGTCAATGCAGTAATTATAGGTCTACACAGACTTGACAGCAAAAAGGATTCCAGGAAGCAAGCATGTTAATAATTCAATATTCATTTTACGCTACTCATCAGGTCAGACATCAGCTGCAGGCAAATGTGTATAACACAGATTAAGACACTATCTCCAGCTCCATCAAAGGTTAGTGCTCCTGTAAGCTGTTGGCTGCAAGACATGCCCTTGCTGGACTGAATGGTGGTGGGAAATCAGTGCAAAGGCGCATAAAAACCCCATGTTAATTGTAGTATGGGGGCATACACCCTACTCTCCCATTCCATTTAGAGAGGCAACATGTCAAGATACTTTAAAATTATTTCTATCTTCCAAAGCTCACATCTCAGCCTTTCCATTTAACTACATGTAAACGTTAACCTGCATGTATTCTGAGGTATAACAAACTGTCTGGATTAAACTAAGTATCCATAAAAAAAAACAAAAACAGAACATCAAGCCACACAAAGGAACACTCGTAAGTATTTAGGCTTTTGCAGAACAACTACTAAAAGAATCTGATGAATTTAGCAGTTTAAAAAGAAAAGTAGACATTCAGCTTGGGGATTACACAGATAATTCAGTAAAACCAACTATATAAAAAAACAGAACCAGAGTCACAACAAATTAGCGGTACATGAATAGAAGACCGCTGATGTGAGCCTTCAAACAGATGCTGAATTTAGCATGAGTGCCAATTTCAGTAGGTTTCCACCTCCCTAAAATTGAAGAGCTAGCATTAGGCAATCAGCTGCCTACATGAAGTGCTACTTGTACTTTCCAGTCCCCAAAACATCTCCTACGTCCTTCTAAGTGACTCCATGAGAATGTCTCCACCATCTGTTCTATGGCTGGATACCATGGCCTTGTATTCCCCTTCTTACACATACTGTCTTGCCAAGGGATAGCTATGTGCCTCTCTATACCTCTCTACCACTTTTTCAGTTCTACCCTTGAATGCCATGAATAGCTACCCCAATCAACATTATCCCCAACACTGGTCCCACTGTCAGGAATTCCACTTTGTCTGCTACAGGTTTTATCCCCCTACTCCTAGCAATATTCCCTCCACTGTGATATCCATCCAGTAGCGTGGGAGCAACACAACAAATATTATTAGACAGCTAGTTAAACTGTGAGTGGAAGCTGAAGGCAATGGTATCACTCTGACAAATGATGCTAATGGCTCCTATCACTTCATCAGTGCTCTAACTTGCAGACAGATGGCAACTGTTTACGTGCTTGAAGCTATGGCTTTACTGAAAGAAATGCATTTTTCACTCCTTCCAAAGCACAGCAAGCTGACTCCCAGTTATGTCCTGATATTTGGAAATTGACTAAAAACATACTCAAGAGCTATAATATTGTATTCAGAGAAATTACAAATGGCTAAGCACAGGACCTAAAAGTAAACCAGAAAGAGTTACTAAGGCACTGCTAATTTAGTAAGACATGCCATTTAATATCATGCAACTCAGTGTACCAGTTTTAGAAGCAGGAACACCTATGCTACCCAGAAGACAGCTTTGCAGAGTAAACATCAGTTACAACTAGCAACATACTTTATTTTAGTTAAGGAACACAGCCGCAGCTAGCTTATATGCCTCTGATCATTAGTGTATTTCCACAGAATTATGCAGGAGTGTTTAATACTTAATACATACTCACAATACTCTGCGCGGAAATAGTGAAATATGCAAGAAGCCAAGAATGCAGAAATAGTACCATTTTGCAAGCCTCGGTATTCATGCTTTTTGTCATCTGATCAGTCTTACCTTAAATGTAGTACAAAAGTAAAATTTCGTCCAGATCTTTTGTCCTTCTGATACAAATTCACTTTAGACTCTTCCTTGTATATAAGGGGTGAATAGAGCAGAAGAGCCTGTGAGTCTGAAAGTAGCAAGATGGAAAAATTGACCAATTTCTCTGCTAGTTCAACACAATATTCAAGAACTGCTTAGTAGCAACTTCACTGTAAACGGCCACGTTAGTCCAGAAGTTCCTAGTTGTCTACGGTTACGCAGAATGAATGCCTTTCACTTGTCAGAGATGAAAGTATGAAATGATCTGAACTACACGTTTCAACGGCCACTACTTGCCAAGGAACTCCCACCACCAATACATTCCACCACCACATGTAAGCAAACCCATTTCCAAACCAGGAATATGTAAACCACGTAAGAGAGAAAGGCTGCATACATTTCTGCATAAGCATGCCTGTTTAAGTGTAGAGAGGATGGAAAAGTCTGGCATACTAATGCAGTCATTTACAAGAATATATACAGTTCCCAGACTCGAAGAAGAAAGGCTGAAATTCAAACTAAACCTAAAGCACGGAAACCATGAAGAAGCCTGTTACACTAAAACTTCTTAAAAATCAAAAGCATAAACTCATCTGACTGTTCACTAGAATCATCTTGGTTACAAAGAAAGAAACAAAGTTCTCACAAAGACATGAGAAGGGCTATCACAGTTAAACCCACTATGCCCACTATACCAGCATACAATTTCTGCAGCATGAATCTACCTAAAACGTTTATTTTGGAGATGTCTACCTGCAGCATCTGGGATGACAGCTTTTCACAGGTCTGGGCAAAGAGGGAAGTGAATCAGCCTCAGAGAAACTGTGATTTAGTTTCTTTTTCCAGTCTCTTTCTTTCCACCAGTAACTTCAAAAAACAAATGCTCTAGAAATTGCTTTGCTTTACCACAAGGTTTGGAAAAATGGGTGAAGGCAGGTGAGAGAAAAGGCATGCTGATCACTACGAAATTCCAGAACTTCTTTTTCAACACCAGGAATATTTTTCCTTTCTGAGATGAAATGAACTTATTCAACCAATGTACCTTGCTTACGCCATGCTTTCTCAAAAGGTGGATTTCAGGTAGCTAACGCTTAACATAAAAAACAGTCAAAAAGAGTAACTGATTAGTTATTTTATTTAGGAGCACTAGAAATAAATGTCACACAAGGAATCAAGTTTTCAAATGGAACAAACTGTATTGATTAGTTTGACCACTTAGGTCTCTGACATGGATGATTCTTCACATAGAATGATTAAGAGTGGAGGGGACCTAAGAGCTCATCCAGTTCAACTTCCTTCTTAAAGTCTTACCTCCTATAATTTGTTAACAGTTATCCCTACTGTAAAAACTTTTCAACATATATCCACCCATTTCAATTTATGACCACTGCCTCTTTGTTTTCCCACTGCACCTCCGTAAAGAGACTGGCTCCATCTTGGTATCCATCCCTTTATACACCAAATGGTTGATATCGGGTCCCTCGTAAGCATTTCTTCTCCAGGGTAAACAAGGACACAAAAAGCTCTCAGCATCCTCTCTGAGGTCACATACTCCAGCTCCTAGACCATCCTGGTGGACCTGCCCTAAATTTATCAGTGTTGGTCCTATTTGGGGTAGACAGAAAAGGAGCAAGCCTGGACTCAGTATTACAGTCTGGGAATATCTGGAACAAATGCCAACGAAAGGGGAATAAAGCTCTTTTCATCACTAATAGGGTGAAGTGCTGACTTGTACTTAGCCTGCTGTTCACCAGAACTAGGTCCTTTTCCATAGAGATACACTCCAACCAGTCTGTAGCGCTGTAGGAGGGTTACTGATGCTTCAAGCATCGGTTGACCTTGTTGAACTTTGTAAGATGCCAACAGGCCCACTCTTCTAGCCTTTGAGTACTTTAGGATGGCTGCCCTGCCTTTAAGCCACCCAGCTGTGTGTCTACCACAAACCTGATTAAGGTGCATTAAACCTAGTCCACTGGGTCATTGATAAAAACATTAAAACAAAAAGTCACATCAGACTCTTGAGGAGCTCCAGCTGTAACTACTCTACAGGCAGAGTCTGAACTATCAGCTACCCTTTGAGACAACTTTTCAACTGGTTTTAACTTTAGCTAGTCGTCCTCCCATTCAGACTGTAAACAGGAGCATGCTGTGGGACACTGTAAAAAGCCTTGCTAAGGTCAAAGTGAAGAAAAAAACCCCAAACCAAACCACAAACATCCACAGCTCTACCCTCATCTGAAGGCCTAGTCATTTGACAGAAGGCAGTCAGATGGGTCAAGCATGACTGACCCCTGGTAATGCCATGCTGACTATTACCAGTCACCTTCTTCTGCAAGGGCCCAGAAATGTTTTGCTACAGGTTGATACAAACTATTACTGGTAGTGCTATCAAAGTAAAGCAGTGTGTTAATGCTTTTATCAAGTGGAAATATCATAAAGAAAATTTTCTACAACACAGCAAGGACACCTGAAACAGTGAAGAGGAACCACCGCTGGCTTCAACAGTTTGCAGGATTCGAATGTTCCAAAGCTAAAATCTAAAAACTCCAAGCATAAAAATACGCAGGTCTCAACAAGAGAGCAAAGCCATCAAGCAATTAAGTTTCTGGCTAACTTCCAAGGTATCTGGCAACAAGATGGTAATAGCAGCAGAGATTATGGTAAGAAAAAGTTGGTGTTCATAACTGTACCTAGTATTTGTTAAAACAACTGCTGGCTGAGAAAGGGAAGGAGTGGAGAAGAACAGCAAATGGCCAAGACAACTGAAGCATATTTCATTATGCACATTAGAAGGCATTTCGGAAATTCAGATGGCTTACACATTTTCAGATGGGTTTCATTTCTCTTGGCCTATATTGAAAAAAGAAAAAAAGAAAAGCCACTTTTGAGACCCCTGAAATTTAACAACTACAGGAACTCCATCACACAAAAACAGTCAGTGCCTGATCATTGCCAGCTCTAGTCTCTCCCAGTGATGACATTACTCATGTTTCACCCTAAATACTTCAGTCCCTTTGCACATCCCCAAAACGTGCTTGAAGAAGGGAGCAGATAAGATTCTCCAGCTCCACATTAAGCAGTGAACAATGACAACACCACAGTGGATGAGCAGAGGCTCATCTTATCCCCTAAGGAAATTTGCAAACGTGACAAAAAGCACAGAGAAACAGCTTGACTCGCTCAGGAACTTTGCGACAAACTCCTTACCATGACCTTTGCTATGTAAAGTTTTGGTTTCTTCTGTATTCTCATGTGCTTACAGAATAAAAATACTCTTGTCAGCAAGTGCTGATATTTAATTAAACCGGAATGACTGCTGTGAAGGGAATCATATCGACATCTGTAGGAAGCTATGCATTTGGGGAAAATCCAAAGGAAGATACGGATATTTTTAATTTAGTTATTACACAGGTTTTAATATCCGCATTTTAATTGAGTGTTCTTTTACTTTAGGATTGCAACATGGCTGGTGACACTGCTGCAAATGTCATGGTTATGTGACTTCCAGTACAGTCTTCTCTTCATCACCAGTAGCCTTCCACATAAGTTTAGTACTTGCACTCGCAAGACAGCTCATCAGGTATCCAAACCATTAATGTTAAGAACCAGCACTAATAACTACACCTTAGAAGAACCTCCTTTGAAACATCTCAGAGTACAGTCTTACAAGAAGATGGCTAAGCTAAACCAGTAACTGCTGTAAGCTCACCTACTGCCTTGTGTATTTTCTACTCCAACTTCTGCACCAGTAGTTGCCCTCATATCCTCATGCAGCAAATTGATTCAAGAGGCTGAACTAGAAGAAAATTAACCTTAGCAACAGATACCAAACATACACACATCACATAACTATCTCTCACCATGAGATGAAACACAGCCAAATATCAGCATGAGCAGGAAGAAAGGCACATGGTCAGAGGAAGAAGGCTGCAGAAATACAACAGCATTATACTTAGCTAATTATACAAGAACCTTTTCTACAATGAAACAGCCAGGATTATGAGTGGGTTCCAGAAGCAAACGCCTGAGCAGAAGCCTAATAAGTTTTTTTTTTCTGTACTGTAACACTGAAAAATGGCAAAAAACCCCAACCAAATGATTCTAAGGACTTTTAACTAAAAAGAAGAATACCAGATGCTCACCAACTAGGCAGCATGTAGCAGAAAGCTGTTTGGGTAGGGGGAGCCAACTCCCCCTAACAAAGAGACAAAACCAAAGCTTATATTATTTACATCAAGCAAGCCAGCCTCCAAGATGTTATATCTATTGTTATTACTTCTTTTTAGATGTTCAAAACCAGTGCCTGGCTGACAAAGGAAGCAAATACATCTATTGCCCAGCACTTCCACTGTGGTACCAAAAGATTTAATGACTAGAAATGAATATAGAAGAAAATCAGAATTAAAAACCCAGCTTCAACTGAATTACACACTAGCTACTACTTTAACTGCGATGGGCTTACTTTTGCCCTGCCTCTAGGGTTTTGAAGGCACTACCCTTTGGCAGTTGAACCAAACAAGACTTACTGCTTTTTCCACTCTTAATAGAAAAATTATTTGGGTCACATAAACCCGTTCTAATTTTCCTTTCCTTCTCTGAACACAGCAGTTTATCCAAGTACATCTTTTCAATCCCTCAAAGACCTTCCAGGAACCCTTGCTTCCTCAGTAACAGTGATGCGAGTCTGCCAGTTCCATGGCACCTTAAATCCGTAATAAGAATAGATCATGCCATGTACTAATTTCTCCTCTATCTGCAGGGCTTTTGACACAGTTCAGGGTAAAAGCAAACAAAAAAAGCCACAGCGAACATTTAAACAGTTCAGGAAAAAGCACTGTAGACTAAATTTTCTCCCATCCACCCCAACCCTTCTCAAGAAGGGACACAAAACAGGAGAAAATGAGCCCAAACAAACCAGACATCAATAAAAATAAGGAGAATGAAGACTAACATGAAGAAGCTACCCCCCATTTCACCCAGCAGTACAAATGTCAGTGGTCAATTTATACTTGTTGGATTTCACCCATGCCAGTATCAGTCATGATACCTCTGAAAGGCAAACAATTACAGTCGGCTAGCAGCAGACAGCAGAACTTTGTAATAAAAGGTTGCATATTTGCTGATAAAAATCTTTCACATTATGAACTGACAAATGAATACAAAACAGAACCCTGTGATAAGAGAATAGGGAAGAATACTCCTCAATGAGTAACGTGCTCTGCCTACTCAAGTATCGTCTGGGTTAGCTTAAGTTTTCAGTGAATTTATGCCTTCAGTTCTTTAGAAAGCATTGTATTTTTCTTCCTCATTAAGAGCACCGACTATTTCTTCTCCTGCCTTATTACAGTTTATTTCCTGCAGTAACAGTATCAGACTTCGACCCAAAGAAAGGCGAGGACAAACAGCAAGTAGAATCAACAGTTCTGAGCTCAGAACAAAATAAACAGAAGAAAGTTTGCTCACAGGTAGCCCAGGTTCATCAATTCTTTTTGTACTATTGATAGCTTAAGGTTATTACTAAAAACAGATAAAAAGCAGAAAAGGATGATGGAGATTCCAATACAGTGTTCTAGGACTGACTGACTTTCGAAAGGTTTCAAGCACAAATCTGACAACTCATGACAGATCAAAGCTGTCATGTCTGCTTTGTATGCAAGGGCTGTTTTATTCAGTGCTTCAATAAACAAACAAGACCTACAGAGGAAGGGACAACATAGACATACTAAGTAGTTTTCAACATTAGCTTGCTGTTCTTTGTGAAACTGACAATATAACCAGGTTTCAAGTCTGGACAAAGCTTAAGACACCCTTCAAGTTATGGAATTTACCCCAAGTTTTTGGTTATACAAACACATCTGAATCTGGTAACCCCAAACGAGTAATAACTGACCAGTGCTTTTCCTAGATGAGGCCTACTTTCCCTCTATATAGACTTAGAAATAGGGAAAACTTAAGATTGAAAATAGGATGGTCATTAAATAGATCTGAGAATATACAGTATTTTTCAAGGCGACTATTTTCCAACTATAAATTAATAGAGGGTTAAAAAAAAACAACAACCCAAACCAACAATTTCAGAGTACTTTCCCCAGTGACATTTTTCTGACTGTGTTAAATTCTATTCCCTGCCATTGGCAACTGCAGCCCACAAGCTCATTTCAAGAATCCTGACCTGTACTAGAATTTTATTTCTTCCCCTCTGACTCTGTAAGTCAAGCTCTACCTTACTTCATGTTAAATCATAAACTGTTTTGACAGTCTGTAACCGTAGCCTCTTCCTTCCCAAAGCCAGATACTTTAAGTTGACAGAATTCTGGGTTTTCTTTAAATTAAAACAATAGCACAGCAATAGTCAAAACCACATGGCACGCTGTTATGGTTAACAATAGCTGCTATTTTGAGTTCATTAAGTATTTTTAGATTTCTTCTCTGGTCTAGAATTGCCTGTGTTTAGTGCATTCCGGTTAAGAAAGTGAGAAGTCATCCTATTGGATTTAATGTTACAAGCTAGATAGTGGTCTTCGAAAGCTCTTAACCTCCAACGCTCTTATACTTAAATATAATAATAAAACATATAGAAGCATAGACTTGGTTCACCATAAGGCAAACCAAAAAAGAAACAGAAGTGAAATAAATACTATTGGTTACTATGATAAAAAAATAGGATACAAACCAACATCACTCTGGCAGAGTACTAACAATGCTTTTCTTCCATACCACACACAAAGCCCAAGTATTATTTCATTTTTAAAACACAGGAAAATGTTAAACTATAGCCTTTATCATTTATAAAAAACAGATGAGCTCTCAAACGTCTGCCTGCAAAGGAGCCTGAACAGCTATTTAGCTCCAGCAAACACTGGGGAACGTTCTCTTTCCATCATAATAGTCTGCAAAAGTGGTATGCTTGTCTTTCTTTTGGGCCCACAAATGACTATTAAAAGAGAGACACCTAAAACTGCTTCCAGTTTCTTTACATTGTAAGAGATACACAGAATCTAAAGGAGGGCTGGTTGTAAAACCTCCCCAAAAACACAAGCTATTGCTATTATTAAAGCATCTATTAAATGACTGAATGTCTACAAACTTCTAGGTTATCTTTTAAACAGTAGTCCAAATTGTGATATACTTATGGAGGATTTACAAACAGGTTTCACACACATACCCTTACCCCCAGCTCTAGCTATTGTTTTCACAAGACTGTTTCCCTTTTGCTTATGTATAAAACCCCTAGTATTTGGAGTTTTCTGCACAACCTTCCATTAGCTTAGAAAAAGTGCTCCTCAGAGTAACATAATCAGCCACAACCGAGACTTTGGATGATTCCAATAAATTCATCCACCAGGTTAAACAATCAGTAAGAAAAACAGCAGGAAAGACATCACTTCAGAGAAAAGGAAAAGTGAAACAAGAAATCCCTTGCTGCAATATATCGCCTGGAAAAGTGGTAAAGATGCAAGAAACATGACAAGCTAGCAAATGGATAAACATCACGTCTGAGGAGTCAGTTTAATATACCTATATGTAGCAGCCCCACAATTACTGGATAATACTCACTAAAGATGCCTGTAAATCCAGCTTATAATTAGGCATTATTAATAACCTTTTTAGAGACATCACTTCAGTTCTTGTGGATGACACACAGAGTGAGATATTCATGAGTCTTAGAAGACTACATTGTGCACTGAGGCTCTATTGAGACAGATGGAGCTGCTTTGCCTTCTAAGATGTAGGACTGATCTACATTGACTACCTCAGGGAGTCAACCGACTACCTCTGTTTGGTCTGCATTCCAGTTTTAAAACACCTGAAAGATGAAAACCGCTTAATCTTTGTCTTGAATATACATATTAAAGAAGAGAACCCTTTTCTTTAAAAAATCAGCTATAAACATTTTTTCCTCAAATGCCCCACAAAGAATCAAATTTTAAATGTTAGACAGTAGAAACCAATGCCTGCAACTAGTACCATATCTGAAGTAAGGTCTTGTGCACAAAGCGGTATTCTTTAGATCACAGTGAGAACTAGAAAAAATAAAACAAGTATTTTATTAATATACTAGGGAAATGGAGAGCAGAACAGAAAGGACACAGAATCTGAGTAATATCTCCTAGGTTCACCTTTCATACCTTTGCAGAAGCTCTCTGAAGTCAACACTTTGAGTACAGGCCCACTTAAAGTGGAAGCAAAAGGAACTATTTCTTCAGCTTTATACACTGAAGACAGAACTCTGAGAGCTCAGCCTACAGTACTGTATCACTTCAGTACCGTACTTCTCATCTGAAGTTTCAAAGCAGATTACAGTTTCAGCAGCTTTTCAAGGTCACAAGGGCAATCACAAACACAAGTCCCTTCCCCCTCCAATTCCTAATCCACCACCCTCAAAATCCACTCTAGCTCTCCTTCAGAGACTTCAATATGTCATTCATTTTCAAAACTGTCATTCACTTCTCCTAGAAGCATGGTCCAAAACTACCATATGTGGTAACAGTGTCTATTATAAAAGGCTGCAATACATATCAAAGGCAACGTTAGAATTGTCTGTA